CCCAGTTTGGCTCCCAGTTCCTTCCCAGTCCCTCCCAGTGCTCCCAGTTTGGCTCCCAGTCCGTCCCAGTCCCTCCCAGTGCTCCCAGTTTGGTTCCCAGTCCCTCCCAGTTTGGCCCCCAGTCCCTCCCAGTCCCTCCCAGTCCCTCCCAGTCCCTCCCAGTGCTCCCAGTTGGGCTCTCACCGCTCAGGCCGGGCCCAGGGGCTCCCCCAGGGCCGCTTTGTCCCGCGGGGCCGCCTTGGTCAGAGCCTTCTCCTGGGACGGACGGACACACGGACAGGGACGGACACACGGACAGGGACGGACGGAGACACGGACACGGGACGGACGGACACACGGACACGGGACGGACGGAGACACGGACACGGGACAGACACACGGACACACGGACACACGGACACGGGACGGACACACGGACACGGGACGGACACACGGACAGGGACGGACGGAGACACGGACACGGGACAGACACACGGACACACGGACACGGACGGACGGACAGAGGACACGGGACGGACGGACAGAGGACAGAGAAACAGGGACAGACAGACACGGGGACACAGGGATGGACACAGGGACAGACGGACAGAGGGACACACGGACATGGGACAGAGGGACACAGGGACAGGGATGGATACGGGGACAGACGGACACAGGGACAGACGGACAGAGGGACACACGGACATGGGACAGAGGGACACAGGGACAGGCATGGATATGGGGACAGACGGACACAGGGACAGACGGACAGACGGACACAGGGACAGGGATGGACACAGGGACACGGGACAGACACAGGGACAGAGGGACAGACGGACACGGGGACAGGGACAAGGACACAGGGATGGACACAGGGGACAGACAGACAGACGGACGCGGGACACAGGGATGGACACAGGCATGGACAGCGAGATGGACACAGGACAGACGGACAGACGGACACGGGACACAGACATGGAGACAGGGATGGGACACGGATAGATGGACAGACGGACACAGGACACAGGGATGGACACCGGGACAGGACAGACGGACGGACACGGGACACAGACACGGAGACAGGGATGGGACACAGGGACAGACAGACACAGGACACGGGGATGGACACAAGGACAGGACAGACAGACGGACATGGGACACAGGGATGGACACAGGGACAGACAGACAGAGGGACAGACGGACACGGGCACAGACAGGCAGACGGACACAGGGACAGGACAGGACAGACAGACGGACACGGGGACAGGGACAAGGACACAGGGATGGACACGGGGACAGGACAGACAGACGGACATGGGGACAGAGGGATGGGGGACAGGGATGGACAGACAGGACATGGGGACAAGGACAGACAGATGGACACGGGGACAGGGACAGGACACAGGGATGGACACAGGGACAGATCGACAGACGAACACAGGACAGATGGACACGGGGACAGGACAGACAGACGGACACAGGACAGACGAACACAGGACAGATGGACACGGGGACAGGACAGACAGGCGGNCGGACACAGGGACAGGACAGACAGACAGACACAGGGATGGACGGACACACGGACAGGGACGGACATGGGACAGACAGACACGGGGATGGACGGACACACGGACAGGGATGGACACGGGGACACGGGGAGAGACAGACAGAGGGACAGACAGAGGGACACGGGGACAGAGGGACAGACGGACACGGGGACAGGACAGGTGGACACAGGGACAGACAGATGGACACGGGGACAGGACACACGGACGCTGTCAGGGATCCCCAGGTCCCCTTTGGATTCTGGGGGTCCCCTATGGGATCAGGGGGATCCGGGGTTCCCTATGGGTCCCTATGGGATCGGGGGGTCCCCTATGGGCCCCTATGGGATCTGGGGGTCTTTATGGGATCGGGAGGGTCCTTATGGGGTCAAGTGGATTCTTATGGGATTCGGGGGTCCCCTTTGGATTCTGGGGGTCCCTGTGGGATCAGGGGGGTCCTTACAGGATCTGGGGGGGGTCCCTGAAACTTCTGGGGGGTCTCGGGGTCCCCTATGGATCCTGTGGGGTCTTTATGGGATCAGGGGCTCCTTATGGGATCCTGATGGGATCTGGGGGTCCCTATGGGATCTGGGGGGTTTTTGGGGGTCTCCATGAGGGTTTGGGGGTCCCGGGGTGTTTTGGGGGAACCTAGAGGTGTTTTGTGGGGGTCCCGGGGGGGGGTCAGACCTCCACCAGGGTGTGCCAGTGCTCGATGGGTTTGGGGGTTCCTGTGGGGTCACTATGGGATCCTGATGGGATCTGGGGGTTTTGTGGGATCCCTGGAGGTTTTTGGGGGGTCCTGGATGGGTTTGGGGGTCCCGGGAGGGTTTTGGGGGTCCCGGGGGGGTCAGACCTCCACCAGGGTGTGCCAGTGCTCGATGGGCTTGCGGGGGTTCGCCAACATCTGCGCCCAGTGCTCGCGGCCGGGGCCGTCGGCGTCGCTGCCCACGCGGCACAGCCCGATCACCTCGTTGTGCCCGATGCTGTCGGGGGGTCTCGGGGGTCAGGGGGACCCCAAAAAATCCCCAAAATCCCCCCCAAAATCCCCCAAAAATCCCCCATTCTGCTGGACACCAAAATCCCCCAAAATGACCCCAAAAATCCCCCAAAACGACCCCAAATCTGGCCCACGCAGAACAGCCCCATCACCTTCACGTGACCAAATTTGGAGGGGTCAGGGGGACCCCAAAACTACGGAGGGACCCCAAAACCCCCCCACAAAATACCCCAAAAATCCCCCATTCTTCCAAACCCCAAAATTCCCCAAAACGACCCCAAAATCCTCCAAAATCCCCCCAAATCCGGCTTCCCCAGAAAACGCCCCATCACCTTCTTGTCTCCAATTTTGGAGGGGTGAGTGGGACGCTAAAAAATCCCAAAATTCCCCCCAAAATACCCCAAAATTCCCCATTCTGCAGAACCCCAAAAAATACCCCAAAATTCCCCCAAATTCCCCAAAATCACCCCAAATCTGGCTCTCCCAGAAAAAGCTCCATCACCTTCTTGTGTCTGATTTTGGAGGGGTCAAGGGAGCCCCAAAACCACGGAGGGACCCCAAAATTCCCCCAAAACATCCCAAAAATCCCCCATTCTTCCAAACCGCAAAATTCCCCAAAACTACCCCAAAATCCCCCAAAATCACCCCAAATTCGACCCCTGTCGGTTTCCCTGCGTGATCATCTCAACCAAGGAACGTCCCATTGCTCCAGGATGACCCCAAATGCCCCAAAACCCCCCAAAATTTCCCCAAAACCCTTCAGAGACCCCAAAATTCCCTCCAAAGACCAACCAGATCCTCCCAGTACAAACCAGTTGGGCCCAACAATGATGACAAAGTTGACGTTCTCATGGAGAACGTCAACCAAGGAGGGTCCCATTGCTCCAGGATGACCCCAAACCCCCCAAAATTGCCCCAAGACCTTTCAGAGACCCCAAAATTCCCTCCAAAGGCCCCCCCAGATCCTCCCAGTACAAACCAGTTGAACCCAACGATGGAGATGAAGTTGACGGTTTCATGGAGGACGTCAACCAAGGAGCGTCCATTGCTCTGGGATGACCCCAAATGCCCCAAAACCCCCCAAGATTGCCCCAAAACCCCTCAAAATTGCCCCAAAACCCTTCAGAGACCCCAAAATTCCCTCCAAAGACCAACCAGATCCTCCGAGTACAAACCAGTTGAACCCAACGATGGAGATGAAGTTGATGGTTTCATGGAGGACGTCAACCAAGGAGCGTCCATTGCTCTGGGATGACCCCAAGTGCCCCAAAACCCCCCAAGATTGCCCCAAAACCCCTCAAAATTGCCCCAAAACCTTTCAGAGACCCCAAAATTCCCTCCAAAGGCCCCCCAAGATCCTCCCAGTACAAACCAGTTGAACACAACGATGGAGATGAAGTTGGCGTTCTCATGGAGGACATCAACCAAGGAGTGTCCCATTCCTCCGGGATGACCCCAAACACCCCAAATCACCCCAAAACCTCTCCAGAACCTCTCAGAGACCCCAAAATTCCTTCAAAAAACCCCCCAAGAACCTCCCAGTACAAACCAGTTGAACCCAACAATGGAGATGAAGTTGAGGTTCTCATGGAGGACGTCACCCAAGGAATGTCCCATTGCTCCGGCATGACCCCAAACCCCCCCAAACCCACCCAAACCCCCCAAAATCACCCCAAAGCCTCTCCCGGTGCGCACCAGTCGTAGTCGACGACGGCGATGGTGAGGCTGACGTGGTGCACGCTCTCGTGGGGGACGTCGAAGACCAGCGCCTCGTTGTAGTTGGGGTTCAGCGTGTTCTTCTTGATGGACGTCTTGCGCTTCTTCAGCCGCCGGCCCTCGGCCATCAGCGAGGCCTTCACGTAGGGGTCTGC